GGTTTAACGCTCAATTCAGATTTTTTGTGAAATCCGATGTTTTTTCGAGGTCGTTCACATTTCCAGTTAAATGTGACTTGTATGTGACTCCAGTGTGAACATTAAACGGCCCAAAAGTGTCCCACATGTGACACTGGAGACACACGACGACGTCAACCGCAGCGAGCGTCTCTGTGTTTTACACAAGTTGTCCAAACATGGACGCAGCATCGAGCACCTGGAGATTTTAAAGTTCCTCTCGTACCGGAGCCAGAACATGAACAACTTACTTGTTTTAAGGAGGAGATTGAGAAGGAGAAGGACGAGGTTTTTTGGTCGTGGTGTTTTGTGGTGAGTGGAGATGTGCTTCACTTCAGTGACACAGAGTTCATTAACAATTTTCTCCTACTTCAGCGCAGAATAGTGACGTTTGTGTCTTGTTGATAACGTGTAGGTGGATGAATGCACTTTGACCGTTCAGACTGAAGTCACATGTCAAAAGATCAGATATGTATCAGTTTCAGGAGCACAGATCCAAGTGTCCTGGGTCACATTTGAACAAAATTGGATCTGTGTGGTTCAGACTGTCATTAAAAGATCAGATACAGGAACATAGAGACAAAAAATCAGATTTGGGAACTTCAGGCTGCAGTCTGAACGCAGCCTTTAAGATTTATAACGACGTATAACATGCCCACGTGAAATATCGGCCAATATCAGCAAACATATGGGCCGATGTGTCATGTATCAAAACGGTCTACTGTGGAACAATCTCCATGATGGTGAACCCCAAACCTAAAAAGTTACACATTAAAAATCTTCCTTGTCTGTGTCGATGTAAAATTGTGGTAAAGTTTTCTTCACAAACTTGTTCGTTGTGAGTTGGTTGTCGTGCGCCGCTGTGGGAGTGACAAGTTTCCGTCGCACAAATTGCCTTCAAAAAACCGCCTCCACGTTCTGCCTCTCGCTCCGACCTGCCCGTCTCCCGAGCAATTATCACATGTTAAACTCACCTTTCCTCTGGACTCGGCCGCGGCGCGTTCAGGTGCGGCGGGTTTCCGACGGGACGTTTCCCATGAATAAAACATCACTGCGGGAGGTCGCGACACCAATTAAAACCCGCGCGACCTTCTCCTCCTCCGAGCCCGGTGACATTTTCCGGGAATAATTGAAAACAAACACGGCGGTGTCGTTAGCGCCGATGGTTAACCGTGGCGCTGTTAGCGGCTAAGCTAACACGGCGCGGCGGTGGCGGCGGTTCCCCGAGGAGCGCTAATTAGCTTGCCGACGGTTAGCATCAATATTTGAGCAGGAAAAAGGTCTCGGGGGTAAAAGCGACTCTGGGTTTTGCTTTAAGGGGGAATTATAAAATGTTTAAAGTACGGGTCTGTTTCCATGGAGATGTTATTGCTTTGTTTGGAATGTTCCGCAGTGTGGTATTAAATTTATCAAACTAATTAATTAAAGAGCCTCTATCTGATTTTTTCAAATTTTTAAAGGTGCATTGCAACTTTTCCGGTGGAGGTTTCGTCAGTTTCTTTTCTCCAAAATGTTTTTGCTTTGTCTGGAAAGTTCCACAGTGTGTAAGTAAGTTTTTTTTTATCTGTTTAGCGCTTTTCACAAAGACGCTTTTAAAGAAAATTATTCCGTCCAGACCTGGGTCAGACTGACAGAAGCGCGGCTGCCAATCTGTCCACCACCATCACACACACACACACACACACACACACACACACACACACACACACACACACACACACACACACACACACACACACACACACACACACACACACACACACACACACACACACACACACACACACACACACACACACACACACACACTCCACTTTCATACTCGTGTGCATTGTGGCTTTAAACCTTTCTATCGTCATGGAAACTAAGACTACGTTCAGACTGCAGCTTGAAGTTACCCAAATCAGATTTTTTGGCCTCTATGTTCCTGTATCTGATCTTTTAATGTCAGTCTGAACAACACAGATCAGATTTTGTTCAAATGTGACCCAGGACACTTGGATCTGTGCTCCTGAAACTGATACATATCTGATCTTTTGACATGTGACTTCAGTCTGAACGGTCAAAGTGCATTCATCCACCTACACGTTATCAACAAGACACAAACGTCACTATTCTGCACTGAAGTAGGAGAAAATTGTTAATGAACTCTGTGTGACTGAAGTGAAGCACATCTCCACTCACCACAAAACACCACGACCAAAAACCTGGTCCTTCTCCTTCTCAATCTCCTCCTTAAAACAAGTCAGTTGTTCATGTTCTGGCTCCGGTACGAGAGGAACTTTAAAATCTCCAGGTGCTCGATGCTGCGTCCATGTTTGGACAACTTCTGTAAACACAGAGACGCTCGCTGCGGTTGACGTCGTCGTGTCTCCAGTGTCACATGTGGGACACTTTTGGACCGTTTAATGTTCACACTGGAGTCACATACAAGTCACATTTAACTGGAAATGTGAACGACCTCGAAAAAACATCGGATTTCACAAAAAAATCT